TCTACTGAAAACATCCTTTTTGTATTTTGAATACAGTAAGCTGTTTGCCTGTTTACCATCCATAGTACATGAAGGGAAGTTAGCAAATAAGCTACTAGAACATTTAGTATGGAATAATTCAACTGAAATACATTTTATACATAAAGACAACATGTAATAATTATTTTTAGTCATTCTAACTAAAGTACTGTCCTCAGAAGAAATAGTATCCCTTCAGTCATATGCTCTGTGGCTTCTGTGAATGACCCGTATTAATTCAGTTTCTAGAAACTGGCTCTTTAAATTAATGTTGGTAACTGCTTCCATGCTAGACTATTGAAATAAAGGTTATTACATCATTGTCCAAACACGTCTGCTTAAATAAAAAGTATTTGTTTGCAAAAAATGTATATATTTTAAATCTTTTATACAACAATCAGCATGCCTGCCGTTTTCCATTTCAGACTAAGCATACGTTTCAGATGTGGAAAAAGCAAGCATGTTGAAATAATTTGAGGCATGGGTATAGTCGGATCAGTCTTGGTAATCCAGAAGGGAGGGGTGCCCAGTGTATTATTACATTTCGTATATTATTTTTCAAGAGATGGATGCAATCAGTCATCTTCTCGCACATGGTTTGAAAAAAAATTGTCTTGCTGGCAAGTAAACTGTTATTTAAGTACACAATCCACGGTACTACAGAAACAGTTTTGCCAAACTTGTCCAAGTATTCTCACATCCTTAAAGATGGTATAAATATCATTTATAGCAAGCCGTTTACTTCAGACTATATGGAATGCCTTCCTGCTCCCCTGATCTAAGTGTCCCAGTTTGCATTATGGCCTTTATTGCTTCTGTTTGATGGAGTGATCAGTAAAAATTTAATGACACTATAAAATAATAAAAATGTCATTAATTTACCACGGATCTTGGATGCAGTGGTTGTAAAGTTACATTAATAAACAGAATATTTTTTACAACAAAAAGCATTGTTACGTGGGAACGTATAAATAACACACATAAATTTAAGAGCAATTTTACTGTTAGCACACACATTATTATGGAATAGCCAATAAGTGTATAAAACATAGTATATAAAATTTTATGAAAATATACTGTGCACATCAAAAATTCAGCTTTTATCTAAGTGCAGAGAAAAGCCATTATTGTGTGCTTACTGTTTCATTGCTGTTCTTTCACAAGATCACAATTTTATATTTGTTTCTAGTCATTTGAAGTTTGCAGCCTTTTCAGAGGTAGGGGCTACTGCTTCCTTTCCCTTTGCTCCTTGCTTCAGTAAAACATTCTTTTACCTTCCACATGTGAAGAAAGAATTGATACTTTCTGCCAGCACGTGAACGAAAAGTTGCTAATTTAATGCAAAGCTAAAAATAATGCCAAAGGGGTTGAAAGGCTTGCTTGGCGACTCTGGAAATAAGGGATAACTATCTAGCAGTCTATCTGTCATCACTGGGGCTGCTCCATCACTGACTGTGATAATATGTGAATATGATGGATGCCACAGCCTTGTGGCTCATAACATTTAACATTCATCAGCTCTCACTAACGGGGGCTTTATAATTTAAATATCTTTATTTAATATGCAACATCTACCTCATACATCATAATTTCAAAGCACTTAGAGAACCAACAGTCCTGCAAGACAGTTGAGCAGACTTTAATTTTTTCAATAACTTTTACGTTATCTGCATGTTTGTGACTGACAACACATAAATAAATGCCTAATCACATAACAGAATGGAAAATTAAGATTTGGCTGCTAAGAAGAATCTCTTTTCTCTTCTTTTTCTCATTTTAAAGAAGTGATTATTTTTACTGTGTGTTCAACATATAAAGGAGCACAAAGGATCTGAATTGTGCTGGAAAGAGCTTTCAGTTTTCTAGTGCAAGCTCCAACCGATCTAGTCATGAGAAAGGGTTGTCAGTGTCATGCCCTGAACCTTTTCTCTGAAACGTAAACGGGAAAACTTAATGTGACCATACAGCATGAGCTCCATAGCTAGTACAAAAAATCAGTTCAAAATAGAGGTCCAAAATGCTTTTTCACAGGAAACAAAACACCTGCACTGTCCATAGTGGTGCACTTTCTTACGAACTCACCAAAATCTTCTGCTAGTGTAGGTTAGGGAGGCAGCAATATAGCCAGTGTTTGATGCAAATGTGTGCATATATAACGCACATGTAGGTAACTTAGTGCAGCTACGTATAGCCATTTACTTTTAATGAAATTATGTCTTTTTTTGTTCATATAGGAATATTATGTACAGAATCAATCATCCTCTCAGTCCTTGCTCATACTAGGAAAAAGGTATACTTCTAAAGGATTTTTAATGCAGGTGACTCTTCTCTTTAGGATGAATTCAAAATGGGAGCAAAGTCAAACCCCATAAAAAAGGATTGGAGCCTAGTGGGACAAGTTTCCTCTCTAATAATAAATTTCATATTAATTCATTGCATTTCATGGAATTGTAAAGGCATCTACTAGATAAAAACATTATTAATATTGAGGAATATTTTACTATTTTTTACAGTTCTCTGAATTTGTCTGAACCCAATGCAAATATTGAAAACTTTTTTACAATCACTCTGAAGATTATTTTCAGTAAAAAGCAAGCAAATGAATGACTTTAAAAGGCATTTCAAAGACTTAAATATAGCTAGCTTTGTTACAGCTTTTTATGAATTAGAAGGAGGAGGATATGGAATAACTATAAGTACATCTCCTTTGTTTGACAAGAGCAGGTATTTTTATGGTATAAGTGCTTTCATTTTACTGTTCCTGAACCTTATCGTGTAATTTTCCCATTTCTTCTTCCATGTCAAAATATTGATATTCTTTCAGAAACTTTCTTTTTTTCTTCTTTTTTTTTTTTTTTCAACAGAATATTTTCTGGTAAAATCAAAGAGAATGAATGACTAGAAAGATATTCCAAATGTGCATATTGATACGTAGCTGGGTCTGTTGATATTTATAGCAGAAAGGTTTTCTCCTTCTTCTGAAACACACTTAAAGGCTGTTCTTCCAAGAATACTGCAGGTGCTGTATTAACATCCTTAAGAAAAAGCTTTTAGTGCAAATATTTTGGAGGAGACGATATATGTGCCAAAAGCTGTTTTCTTAGTACTGATCTTTGTTTTTATCTCAACTGTAAATCAGCCCTTTGCAATGGAACGCAGAATCCTTGACAAACTTATTTTTTATTCTGCCTACCAGTAAAACAGATCCCATCCTGATGATTCAGGTGTATTGTTACATTGCACAACATCTTCCAGTAAAATATCGGGCCTCTAGTATTGCAGTGCCTTTCTGCAGTCACATTTCATTTGTAACTCTTTCTTTTCTCATGAGTTCCTTTGTATATGTAAGCTCCTTCATCAACCACAGATTTTACAGAAGAAAATAAGTTCAGAAATTAACCAAATATAAAATGCAGAGTTATTTTGTTTGACGACTGGAAGATTCTGAGGACCTTTTAGAAATGCAGTTAGTAACTGAAATGCCTCAGCTGCATGTTGTGGCAAATCCAGTGTCAGGTTGTGCTTTCCTGTCTTCCTCTGCAAATTAAACAGAAAATAATTTTAAAAATCCATGGCTGAAGGAATCAAAAGAATGAGGAATCAAAAGAATTCCTCAGTTGTTGGCCTGGTGGAGTTTTATTACTGAAAGATAGTGATAATAGAAAAATAATCACATTGGAAGGCAGAAGTATTTGGAGGTGGAGCAAATGAAGAGTCAAGGACATCAAGGATGTTTTGTCCTTAAGAACATTTCCAAGTTTCTAACGATCTTGCAGGAGAGAAACTCCTAATGTTTTCTTCTTATGTCTAGTATGCACAGCAGAGAACTAGGTCATTGAACAATAGACTGAACAGCAATCAGCACTCTACTTCTGCATAATGCATTAAGTATAACATGGAGAAACTGTTCTTAGAGCTGAAAGCTGGTATTTCATGTCTGTAAATTCAAGCTGACATGACATTTAATATTGTTTCATAGTAATGAACAACAAGGTTTCATTCATTCACAAGTACAACATAATGCCAAGTTTAATCTGAAGAGGTAACAACAAGGCAAGAGGGAAAACATGCTATGTTCCTTCAAATGAGAATGCTAAATTAATGATAACCATTGAATGCTTTGCTATTGATATGCAGTACTACAGAGACTACTATTGTGAGACAATATTACACTGTCATTTTCAGTGCCCTTGTCCAGTAGTTGACTGAGGAACTGGGTTAACACATAAAATACCTTACAGTTTCCACTTTCTAGTTCCAGATTTCCTGTGGAGGTCTCCAGCTCTCAAAAGCTTTCTGTTTCTCCAGGAGTGTGCATTCTTTTTCCTTTTTTTTTTTTTTTTTCCTCCTCTCCTCTCTTTCAGTTCGCTTTCCACTGAAGTACAATTTAAATTCCTAGACAAAATAATATCAATTCTGTCGTCTATTATTCCTTCTTTCAAATACTTGTCTTTGAAAACCTCTTGCATAAAATTCAGACTTGTGTTTTCTCAGAGGTATGAATGCAAACTTGAATCTCATAGTGGAGAAAAAGTGCTTTTTCCATTAAATTAGCAGTATATTTTAATACAAACTCTTCCTTCAACTTCTGAATTTTCATGTCTCCCAAATGTTGATTGTCTTTTCCAGTTTAAGTCAGAATATAAGTGGAAAGGCAAAGTGAACAGCGTCGATCAGCACTGTTTGCTGCCAAGAGTGTTTTGTATTTGCATGTACAATCATTTATGCATTATGGCAGTGCAGATCAAAAAAATCTCAAAGTTTCTGTATATGTTTCACATTTAAAACTGATTTTCATAAATGCAAACATTCAAAATCTGTAAAAAATTGTCCCTGAGTTAAAATTTTAATTAAATGCACTCATTATTTGTTCCGATTTAAAAAATAAGGCATGTACCAGTGCATATGCATATACATATGCACAGGCTTATAATGAAAACTAACCTATATGGAGCATTAAGACTACTTCTGTTCTTTTTCAGGAAAGAACAAGGTTTGAAAATTTAGGCCCACAGTTAACAGGGAAACCCAATGAAGATGGAAAACTAGGCCCTGGTGTCATTGATCTTACAAGGCCAGAAGACGCAGAAGGTGAGTTGCAATTTTAACTATGGGTTATTGAACACTGCATCACCGAATGGCATGGCTGAAATGCTGCCAGTGTCATAAGTACTGTCTAGCTTACATTCCAGGGTAACACTTGAATGATTTCTGTGTGGTTTTGTGAGATTGTAATAAGTTCATAGCTAAGGGTGGATACATGAAAAGGACTGTATAGCCCTCTAAGCCCTTCTTCAATGCAACTATTCTTTTTCCCCCAGCAGCTGTCAATTGTTTACATTTTATACCATTAATAAAAGTGCAGAAACATTGAGAAAAGTATCTCAGCGAGACAATATCTACATATATATATTTTCACTAGTTTTTAAGGATTTAGCAGCTTTGAAGAAAGTTAGAGCTCTTTAAGAAGTCTACCAATCAGTGCACTTACAAACTATTCAAGATATAGCAAGCATGATTTTATTGACAGGCAGCTGTCAAATGATAGTGGAAAGATATTTCATATTTTCTATTTGAAAATGACGTTTTCATCATTTGCACTTATTTCAGTGAGAGTTCTGTATATCAAGCATAGACTGTCAAGCCACAGGTGGAAATCAGCATTACCAAGACTGAATTTAGACTCTAGCAGGGTTACCATGCATGCTCTGGAAGTGGATGCCACTGATATCTGCTCTACCCTATGAGACATTAGAAGAGAACAGGTAGATAGATAGGGACCCTACCAGTCATGGTAAAAAGATTAATGTATTATTCAGATAGAACATTATGTAACATTTTGCCCCCTCAATTTACTTCTGAGAATCATTTTCCTCTTTTTTAACCTGACAAGTTCTAGTTATGCCACTGTTCTTAAGAGAAAGTTAAAACATCTCTTAATTTTTCCATTGATATCAAAACACCTAACAGGTTCAAAATTTGCTTTTTTTCTTGGACCAGTAGAACAGGACCAATAAATTTGCAATTGTTGACGAATAGGGTTATTTTCAAATCTTTTTTGAAATACTGTGATAGAATTTTTCTGATAAAAAGGCATTAATATTTTCTGTATAGAGAAATATTCCTTTGAGCACTTTTTCTGTTCTGTCTCTCTGTGACGCAGAAATAAATGGTCAAGATAATGTCTCATGAATTATCCCTTCATTTTGAAGTCTGACAACAACAGCACATGTAAATGTTATCTTTTCTTTACTGTACAGGTAGTACGTGATATGCCTGTGATAAGACATCTTAAAGCCCCAATTCTCCTTGCTTGCCAGCTGACATACTTTATCTTTAATCAGTCACTAGGCAAACCAAAAAAGCTGAATTTAAAAGTGTTTGGGGCAAGGCCTTATATACAATGGAGAAGCTGCAAGTTCAATTCCAAGATGTTCCCGTATTGACTCATCCATACAGAGGAATAGTTAACTCTCAAATTTAATTCAGCAAATATTCCTACTTATTGGCTTAATATCATGATTAGCTTATCACATGCAACTGACACACACACCAGAAGCACATGCTGACATGTTTTTTTCTTAAACTTTTTCTTTAAAGTACTTTGATATAGTTAAGATTTCAGTTTCCATAACAGTAAGATAAGAAGATGACTGAAGCCTATCAGCCATTTATTACAAATAATATTCAGAAGGAGCCTATCACCTTAATGAGACATTTCAGATTTTCCATATATGTATATATTTTCAATAGTTCCTTATAAAACCAACAATTTCCTGATTTTCATTTTTAGAGAGATATTATTTATGAGTTTCATTTATTCATCCTTTATTGGATGTGATTGGCCACCATTGTATTGTCTTTAACCAAAAAATAATGAACATAATTTAGGTAAAAAATAACTTTCAGACAGGTATTTTGCAATGATTTTTTTTCTAGAAAAAAGGACTTAGGAGATACATGGACTTTCAAAAGTACTTGTTGACTACCCAGTTATTTATAAATTTTTGTAAAGGAATTTCCATCCTGCAGCAACTTCTCATATTTCAACATATGGAACGTTTTTTTTTTCCTCAGTTGGGATGAAAAGTAGCAACTGAATACTTACAGATACACAGTGACTGATTCATATGACATCGAGTCCCTGACGACTTTCTTGATTTAGCTCATTTCCTTCAATTCATCCTTTCTCTTTCTAGTGTCCTTAATTTAGTATCTTGATGCACCTTGTGGTACTGACAGTCCCCCGTGTTACTGGATAGTGCAGAATGAAGTTTTGACATATGTAACCCAAGCTACAGTGATATGTGCCAGCCTGAGGACAGTGTACATGTCTTTCTAGAGCTAGTGGGGCAGTTTGAGGCATGGTGTGTTGCCACGTGGGAAATCTGAGTTCATGAATGGATTCAGATTTCCAGACTTTGTTTAGCAGCCAAGAGATGTCCCTGGAAAAGCGGTGCTGGATAAATACCTCTGCTGATCTGGAAAAAAAAAACATGTTGGCAGGAGTTCAAAACTGAGCTGCTTATTTGTCCTTCTGCTTGTAGACAAGGTCAATTTAGACAGTAGCTGGATATAAAAAAAAAAGACATTCAATGTATCACCCAAATTTTGCTCCTTATTGGCAAGCTATTTAAGAGATGACACTTCTAGTGTGGCATCATTTAGAGTGGAAGTCCATTGAAAACAGTGCTTCTGAAGTATCAGCAGTTTAACTGTGGCCTCTGATGTACTGTACCATGCTACAGACTGTTCATCTTCAAGAATATCAATGCTTCTAATTGTCAGGAAAATATACTTATCTTTCTAGGTTTGCCATGTCACAAAGTCTTTTATTTGTGTTGATATTCTTTTGTGCTTTCATACGTGTCTGTTTCAGCACTGGGTTACTAAGAAACTTGATAACTTATTCTTTAGAATCATAGAATCGTTTAGGTTGGAAAAGATCCCTAAGATTATTGACATTAACTATTAACCTAACACTATCAAGTCCACCACTAAACCATGTCCCCAGGTGCCATGTATACATGTCTTTTAAATACCTCTGGGGATGGTGACTCAATCACTTCCCTGGGCAGCCTGTTCCAATGCTTGATAACCCTTTTGGTGAAGAAATTTTTCCTAATATCCAGTCCAAACCTCCCCTGGTGCAACTTGAGGCTGTTTCCTCTCATCGTATCACTTGTTACTTGGGAGAAGAGACCAACACCCACCTTGCCACAACCTCTTTTCTGGTAGCTGTAGAGAGCAATAACGTCTCCCCTCAGCCTCCTTTTCTCCAGGCTAAACAACCTCACTTCCCTTAGGTGCTCCTCATAAGACTTGTTCTCTAGATGCTTCACCAGCTTTGTTGCTCTTCTTTGGCCTCCTCTAAGAAGAGAGCCCTTTTGCATTTTAGTGTGTTGTCAAGGTCACAATCTCAACTGAATGTCAAAGGTCCCTAATAGCTATAGTCATATTCTTCGAAGACTTAGTGTGTTTCACACCTTCCTTTCTGTTTTGTCATTTTTAGTTACTTTTAATCTCTTTTCCTTTTTCTTTTAGATATCATTTAAGTTCAGGTTGCTGTAGACATCTGTAGATAATATTTATGTGTTTTGTTGTGCGCTTTTACGCAAATAACACAGTCACATTGAAAATAAAGATTTCTGAAGTAGTATGTTGGTGGTTAGCTTTTGACATCCTGTCGTTCTTCATCAGAAACACATCCAGATCTCTGAGGTCCAAGTGCAGTTGTGATACAGTGAGTGTGTGCCTGTTACATCTGTCAGATGGTTTTACTCCCATCACTAGAATTTTAGAACTTCAGAATTACGAAATTTACTACATTTAGAGAAGATATATTGGCTATTTGTAGAGATTTTTTTTTTTTTTTTTGGTTGTGGTGGGGGGGCTGGGGAGTGGTGTAACAGATTTATTCCTGAGCAAAGGACTCCAAATTTAGTCCCATTGCTGACCATAAACAGGGGGGAAGTGAAGTATAGGCTGCATCCTGATCCTCCAACTGATCTAGACCAACGGGGCTGTGGAAGTGCCATCACTCCCTGACTACCTGCACACCTCTGTTTCCATGAGAAACTAAGTATACAGAGACATGGTACATATCTGTCTCATCCCAACAGGCAGCCGAGATAGAGCAAATCTGGGAAGTGCTCCTGGTTCCCATAACTTTGAGAAAGCCTTAAGGTTCAAGTAATTTGTTATAAGATATATCAGCAGACTTCTGTGTTCTATGGAATGTCTTTGTAATAATACCTAGCAATGATTTCTTTCTAATCCTTATATCTTTTCTATAACATATGACACTGATCTGAGTTTGACAAGATCAGAGTCATCTTTTCCTTTAGTTTTAGGAGTGCTTGTGATACCGGCTCATGGATCAGAAGCTGAAGCTACATGTATTTTTTTTTTTTTTTTGAATCATGAATTATAAGACAAGTCTTGAAATCCTTTAAATTTAACTCTATGTAATTATAAAACAAATATGAAAGGATACTGCAGAATGACTTTTAAGACTTAACTTCTTGTCCCTGCCCAATGTGTGAAAACTTTTTTAAGATTAATGGTAACTAAGTGTATTTTCAGAGATGACCTAGCATATGAAGTCATAGTCAAAGCTTGTGTTGCTGATAATGTCCTAACTGTCAGCCTGAAAATCATCAACAGGAATTTTATATTAAATATGACATAAACCAACATCTCTATTACTTCCTTAGCCACCAGCAGGACTGGGCTAACTATATTAAAAGTCATGCTCACACTGTATTCAAAAACATCGCCACTGACTGTGACATCATTGATGAATAATCCACAGCTATTAGATTTATATCATTACCTGGAAATTCCAGTTGTCATGTTAAAATATATGATACCTTTTTAGCTAGCTAAATTCAAAAACATGATTTGAGAGCCTCATAAATGTTAAGTGACTGGTATGCAAAATTATAAACAACAGCCAATTATAGAACTAAACAAGATATTTATTTTTTCTCCAAACCTCATAATTTTAAAGGAAACGTCATTCTTTCTGTAGGCGGCTTCATAATTTTGAACATTTGAGACTGTCAGTACTGAAATACAGCTAACTGGCA